AAACAAAATAGACATTAATAAACATTCAGAACAGAACCCTTTTCAACTGCAGATACTGTAGATGTTTCATTACATGAAAATTAGTGGGACATCATTTACTTAGTGGAGAGATATTTAACAGTCTTAAAAGCATATCACAGAAGGCAAAATCTATGGAGAAAAACAGTAAGTCACATATAAATGGAATGTTTAACAGAAAAATCTTTCCCCTCTTTTCTGGGGCAAATTGGTGTTTATTTAAATATGTCGGACTTGTTATGTCCGAGGCTTGCCTTGATAATGTTTCTGCTGGAAAGAGAATTTAATCAAATGATTACATAAGGTAGTGTTCTGATGTTAAGGAATAAGAAGACAGGCTATTTTAGGAGTTATGATTTGCAGAAACTTAGACCAATGCATGTAAAAGAATATTGAAATGAAATTGAATGGGTGAACTGATCACTAATGGGTGATTTAGCTTCCATGTTTGAAAATGGACTTAAATGAGTTTTTATTCTAATCCTAGGCAATACTTTTCATCAGTACATGAAGTAGCAGAACTGGGAGGAGGAATGAAGGAAAAATGTGAGGTTTGTGGTTGGTTGTTCAGTACAGATGGATAGAAACTGATTGATTCTACTCTTACTGTATGTGTCCACCTTACATCTATTTTTTCCATGGTCTGGTCCTCTATTTATTCTATCCATGCTTTACTTTACTTTTTCTTTTCTGTTCTCACAACAAATCAAAATGCTGCTTCCCAAATCTGATCTAATTGCATCTCCCTCCTCTGCTTCCTTGCAGTTATGCCATGCAGCTTTCTCATAAATGAAACATGGACAACCAGACCGGAGTGCGTTACTTTCTGCTCCTGGAAATCTCAGAAACTCAGCAACTGCAGCTGCTACATTTCTTCTTGTTCTTTGTGTTATACCTGGCAATTACTACGGCAAATCTTCTCATCATCTGTGCAGTAGTTTTTCACCAGCAACTGCAGAGACCCATGTACTTCTTTCTGATGAATTTGGCAGTGCAGGACCTGGGCTCAGTTTCTGTCATTGTTCCCAAATCCATGATCAATTCCCTCACAAACTCCAGACACATCTCTTACTTTGGTTGTGTTGCTCAAGTCTTTCTCTTTGTCTCCTTTCTGGGTTCTAATGTATCCATTCTGACAGTCATGGCATACGATCGGTATGTTGCCATTTGCAATCCACTGCAGTATGAGATGGTGATGAATTGGAAAGCCTGCGCAGAAATAATAATTCTGGTTTGGGTCACCAGTCTTCTCTATGGGATGTTGCACACCACTGGCACTTTTTCAGTCTTTTTTTGTTCTAATGTGGTCAACCAATTCTTCTGTGAAGTTCCACAGTTGCTAAAGCTATCCTGCTCTGGTTTCAATCTGGTTGAAGTTGGAGTTCTTGTGGCTAGTGTAATTGCAGGATTAGGTTGTGTTGCTTTTATTATTGTCTCTTATGCCATGATCTTCAAGGCAGTGTTAAGAATCCCTTCTGAACAAGGAAGGCAAAAAGCCTTATCAACTTGCATTCCCCACCTTACAGTAGTGCTTATGGTTTTAATAACTGGTTGCTTTGCTTACCTGAGACCTCCCTCTAACACCCCATCTTACTTAGATTTTGGGTTGACTGTTCTGTATTCCCTTCTTCCACCCCTGTTCAATCCAATCATCTATAGCATGAGAAATCAGAATATCCGATTTGTCCTTTCTAAACTGTGGAGGTTCTGAATATTCTTTTAATGTTGTTTCTAGTCTGTCCACCTCAATTTTGCATGTTCTTTTCCTTATTTCTCTGAATAGAGGAATAAGCTAGAAAGGAGACACAGGTGTGATGGAGGCAAATTAAATCTCTCAAACCATAAAAATATAGAAAACCAGAAGTTTCTCTGCAAATAGGCATAGGGTTTAATGATGCTGGAGTTTGCCGGTCAAAAATGGTCCGCACTCCAGACAAGGGCCCGGCTCCGCGGGGTGGGGTGAGCTCCGGTCCCTTGTCCTAGCTCCTGCCCACCCACCAGTTTGAAAGCTATTCCATCTGTGAGTAGATAAATGGGGACTCCCGTTTAGATGGGAGGAACCAGCGGTGCTGCACTGGGGAGCAAAATACCGGTGCTGGCCGAACTCCGAATGCAACCGGCACGAGCGACATTGGATGCGAGTGGCAAGAAAGATCTACAGAGGAGGAAAAAGCCCGGATGACCCCCTAGCGACCCCTGCTGGCCACATAGCATAATAGATATAGCACTAATTGTAAGATTTGTAAGATTTGTCACTGTTAGGTTTGTATGTATGCTTTGTGAACCGCTCAGAGTTCCCCGTTGGGAGAATAAATCAAATGTATAAATAAATAAAATAAATAAATATCCTGCCTCCCTAATTACTGTCAATGAACTTTACAGATGTGAAATATGGATGTTTGGCAGCCTCTTGCAAGCCACAGGGTGACAACTCCTGGTCTTTAGTGAAATGAGGATTAGGATGTGGGAAACAATTGTAATGGCAAGGAGGTTTAAATGAAGTGGCCTAGTTTTCCTTGTGCTTTCCTGTGTAAAGTGGCTTCCCCTTTTTAATCAGTGTATCAATTTTATCAAAGTGTCCTATATTATGATTTTCAAACACTGTGGTAAATATGTTATAGGCAAGGAAGGCAGAAGGCTTTTCCATTTGTGTTCCCCACCTTACAGTTGTTTCCATATTTTACTTAACTGCATGCCTGGCCTATCTGAGGACTCCCTTTATTACCCGATCTTACAA